TGAGCCTGCACATCCGGAGCCTGTGCTCCGCAATGGGAGAGGCCACAACAGTGAGAGGCCCACATACTGCAAAAAAAAAAAAAAAAGGAGCCAGCCCATAAATATTTGTAAGTGAAGTATATCTCCACAGAATCCAATTTTCTTAATTTCTAAAAATTTCTATATAGATTTACAAATAATTCAGGAACATTCTATATAAAAATGCTAACAATGGTTAATTTGGAGTGATGAGATTACGGTGATTAAAGTCTTCTTTCTTCTCCTCTGTAGTCTGTGATTTTCAAAACCCCTCTCCCCCTGCTGTCCACGCACCACCTGTGTAAGAACCACGGCGCTGGTCACATTACCATTTCTCGCCGGGGCGTCCTCGTACGCTGGGCACACCCCATAGTATAGAGGCGGCTCTGCAGAGGCCCGCAGCATGGCTTTGTGGCTGCCGGCCAAGGCACTGAAAGGCACTGAGCAAGTCTCAGACGTCACGGCATCTTCCTCCGGAGGATTCAAGCCCACACTATAACCAAAATCTCTGTCTTCAGAAAAGCTGACCCGCTCAGTCGGGCTCCCTACCGCAGACTTCACAACGCTTTGTGTGTCCTGGCCCAGGGCTGGGGCACCTGCAGTGGCATGGTCAGGAGGATGGGAAGGCAGTGTACTGTGCTCTAATAAAGCCTGAGCCAACTTTTTCTCAAAAATAAACCTTGTGGTTGATGTAATGGGTCCACATTTCAATCCAGCTTTGATAATTTCTTCTCTAAGGTCATCTGGATTCAGGAGTTTCAATCGAGCCAAGATGGTATCCATTGTCATTTCACCTAGGCCCAAGACAACAAAAATCAATCTGATGGCTGTAAAGAACATCTTCTCTTAAACGAATTCAGCAAAGTTGCAGGATACAAGATTAATGCACAGAAATCGGTTACTTTTTTATACACTGATAATGAACTACCAGAAAGAGAAAGTAAAAAATAAATCCCGTTTAAAATCACATCAAAAAGAATAAAATGCCTAGGAATAAACTTAACCAAGGAGGTGAAGACCTGAATAGACATTTCTCCAAAGAAGACATACAGATGGCCAACAGGCACATGCAAAGGTGCTCAACATCACTAATTATTAGAGAAATTCAAGTCAAAACCACAATGAGATATCATCTCACACTGGTCAGAATGGCCATCATTAAAAAGCCTACAAATGATAAAAGCTGGAGAGGGTGTGGAGAAAAGGGAACCCTCTTGCACTGTTGGTGGGAACGGAAATTGGTGTAGCCACTATGGAGGATACTATGGAGGTTCCTCAAAAAACTAAAAATAGGGACTTCCCTGGTGGTCCAGTGGTTAAGAGGCCACCTTCCAATGCAGGGAATGTGGGTTCAATCCCTGGTCAGGGAACTACGATCCCACATGCCACCAGGCAACTAAGCCCATGCACTCTAGAGCCCTCACGCCACAACTAGAGAGAAGCCTATGCACCGCAACGAAAGGTCCCGCATGCTGCAACAAAGGTCCCAAGTGCTGCAACTAAGACCGATGCAGCCAAATTAAATAAATATAGATAGAACTAGCATATGATCCAGCAATTCCACTCTTAGAAAGAAAACAAAAACATTAATTTGAAAAAATATGTGCACCCCAATGTTCATAGCAGCATTATTTACAATAGCCAAGATATGGAAGCAACCTAAGTGTCCATCAACAGATCAATGGATAAAGATGTGGCGTTTATACACAATGGAATACTACTAAGCTATAAAAAAGAATGAAATCCTGCCATTTGCAGCAACATGGATGGACAAGGAGGGTATTATGCTGAGTGAAGTAAGTCAGACAGAGAAAGACAAATACTGTGTGTAATCACGAATGTGTGGAATCTAAAAAATAAAACAAACTAGTGAATACAACAAAAAAGAAACAGACTCACAGATTTAGGGACCTAGTGGTTACCACTGGGGAGAGAAGAGAGGGGAGGGGCGAGATAGGGGTATGGGATTAAGAAATGTCTATGTATAAACTAGACAAGGAACGAGGACAGATTGTACAGCACAGGAAATTATAGCCATTATCTCGTAATAACGTTAACTTTTAATGGAGTACAATGTAAACACACTGAATCGCTGTGCTCTAACCTGAGCCTAACATGATATTGTAGATCAACTATACTTCAATTGTTTCAAAGTGGCAAAAACGCTCGCTTCAGGGAATTCCCTGGCGGTACAGTGGTTAGGACTCCATGCTTCCATTGCAGGGGGTTCAATCCCTAGTCGTGGAACTAAGATCCTGCAAGCCTCGTGGCACGGCCAAAAAAAAAAAAAAAAAGCTGGCTTCAAAGTCTCATTTCAATCCACTATTTCCCCATATTCTCTGGAGTCTATGAACTTTCTATGAGAATTTTCATTAGGTTTTTGTTTCCGGATTTATAACAACCTAAACAAGATTAAGATAGGCAGTGTCTGGTTCATTCGGATAAGAACCTTACAGCCCAGTGTTATGACATGATCTGATCACACCAACATTCTAGGGAGGTCAGCATGCTGGGGAAACAGGCACACCCATCAGCTGTCACCTGCAGTGTGATTAGGAACAAATCCCCAGGAAAGCAACTGGATAATATGCGTCAAAACTCCAACTGCAGAAAGTTATCCTACAGATACATTTGCACTTTATTTCATAAGTCATGAGAAATTATGCAAAAATTTAAACAGAAGAGCATACAGATAGCTCCACAGTCATTTTGCCAATACTGAAAACAAACAGCTCATGTTTAACGTCTGGGGAGCTTCCCACATGCCTGGTTCTGTCCTAAGCACCCTGCCTGCACTAAATTATTTAAAATTCACGATAACTCCACGTGGAGATTTTTCACCATTGCTCACTCCTGCTTTACAGACGGAGATCCTAAATCAGAGAAGCTAAGTAAACTTGTTCACGTTATTCAGCCACCAAGCAAGTGCATGTGAGCTGCAGCTGGAGCTTTAATCAATATATTTACAGAAAGAGCAGTTAAATCTATGGGTAGAGGTTTAAGCACATGGTCAGCCAGAACTGGGGGGAAGGTAAGAAATGACAGGGTACAGGCCACTGCTGCAGCTAATGGGGCCAGAGATGAGTGCTCAGACTAGAGAAAAAGGATGTCTCGACCACAGATTAGATGCTGGGGTCGGGGGTGGGGGGCGGTGTGTCTGAGGGATTGCAGTCAGCCTACGACATAATAGCTAGATTTCCAGCCTGGATGCTTAGAAAGAGATTCTGCCCAAGGCAGAGAATATGAAAGAACAAATGGCGATTTAGGCGCTGAGCATTAGAAACACCCACTGCACATCAAGTGGGCATTCTGATTTTCAAGTATGAGATTCAGAAGATAAGAAGCTCAGAGTGAGAAAAACAGCTCCGAGAGTCATGAGCCCATAGGCGGTGGTTATAACCCAGGGATAACAAGGAACACACATGGCCAGTAAGCCAAGAATGGGATCTGAGTAACAACAGAGATTGAAAGACAGGTGAGAAAGAAGAGAGACTTGAAGAGGCGATCAAGAAAGAACGGGACATGTTAATACTGTGTATCAGTGAAGCTAGAGTACAGGCTTTTAGGAGGTGTTTACAGATGAAATTATAGGATATCCCAGGATTGGCTTTAAATTACTCCAGGAGAGCAAAACAGAGGGGGCAGTGACAGATAAAACAAGACTCACAAAATACTAATAACTAATACTTGCAGCTGGATGATGGAAATTTCTGCATATTTCTTTTTTAATAACCTTTTATGATACCACCCTCCCCCGCCTCCAAGATTTCAAAAATGGCTGTTACTTAAACAGTGAATGTATTGTACAGCCCCCTCTAGAGCTGCCAAAGAACATGAAGGGGGAGGCCAACTGACTACAGGATTCCACTCAGGGAGCACCCCTAAGGGTAGTCTCTGAATATTGGGTATAAGGGCAACAGAAGTGATAAGGAACTGATATGAAAGGTACAGGACAGGCTGAAGCCACATGCAAGGCAAAGTCTGAGGGGTAGAGGCAACTAGGGCAGATGCTAGGAATTAGCAGAGAGGCGTCCACCCGACCCTGGTAATAATCTCCTCTGCATACCATCCCTGGGTGTTTACTCAAAAGCTACCTTTTTCCCCAATAAATTTATTTATTTATTTATTTATGGCTGTGTTGGGTCTTTGTTGCTGCAAGTGGGCTTTTCTCTAGTTGAGGCGAGCAGGGGCCACTCTTCGTTGCGGCGCGCGGGCTTCTCATTGTGGTGGCTTCTCTTGTTGCGGGCACGGGCTCTAGGCACGCAGGCTTCAGTAGTTGTGGCGCACAGGCTTAGTTGCTCTGTGGCACCTGGGATCCTCCCAAACCAGAGCTCGAACCAGTGTCCCCTACACTGGCAGGCGGATTCTTAACCACTGCACCACCAGGGAAGTCCTAAAAGCTACCTTTTTAAGACAGGCTAGTCTGAGGGGGTTCTGTCCTTGTAACCAAGCAAGCCCTAAATGGAACAACTACATTTCATTATATCACTAACTGGATGAGCTTGGGCAAGTTATGTAAATCTAAGCGACAGTTTCCTCATCTATAAAAAAGGCATAACAACAGCTCTACCTCTTAGCTTGTAATGAGAATTAGATAAAATAATGGATGTGTTTGACACTGACAAAATATCCATTAATGTCAGTTAGGGCTATGAAGTTATCAAGTAATACAGACTTATCAGCCTTGGAGAATACACAGCATGCTAGAAAGTCAACTTGAATAAAGACAAACATGTACACTCTGTTTCTAATATTCTTTTTTTTTTTTAATTTTTGGCTGCGTTGGGTCTTCGTTGCTGTGTGTGGGCTTTCTCTAACTGCGGCTAGCGGGGGCTGCTCTTCCTTGTGATGCGTGGGCTCTAGGCACGTGGACTTCAGTAATTGTGGCACATGGGCTTAGTAGTTGTGGCTTGCAGGCTCTAGAGCGCAGGCTCAGTAGTTGTGGAGCACGGGCTTATTAGTTGCTCTGCGGCACGTGGGATCTTCCCGGACCAGGGCTTGAACCCGTGTCCCCGGCATTGGCAGGTGGATTCTTAACCACTGCGCCACCAGGGACACCCTGTTACTAATATTCTTAATACAATAAACAAGTATCTGCTCATGTGTGGAAAAGAAACAAAGGATAAAGCAGAAAATAATGAGATTGCTTAGCTTCAGGGGAGGGTGTGAACCAGACAGTAAGGACAGAGAGCAGGGGAGAGCAGCACTTCTGAATACACCTTTACATGTTCTGACCTTGAGAAGCATGTTTAATTCACATACACAAAAAATACGTAGATAAACAGATAGGGGGAGACCCCCAAGTGGAATACAAACCAAAACAAATTCGCTCAAGGGTATTACAAGTTAGTATCACAATGAGTGGGGGAGAAGGAATGTACTAACTGAAAGATAACAACACGTGACCACATCCTCTAAGGGTAAAGACAGAGGAAGGACAGACAAACACTATACTCTAGCTGGCAGGTGAGTTTTCACAGTGGTATAGGCGAGCAATTCCGAAGCTATCTTATGTGTGCTCTAGGAACCAGCAAATAATTGTAATACTGTGGCTAATGAGGGCCAGTCTCCTCACTGAGAAGGGAGAAGCCCTCAGCAAACTTTTGTAAAGGGCTGGGGAGTAAATTTTGAGTGTCTGTGAGCCAAAGTCGCCCCCAAACACTCAAGAGCCACAGAAGGAAGAATATGGCTGTGTTCCAAAAACAGGTGCGGGCAGGATCTGGCCCAAGGGCCACAGTTTGCTGACCCTGGGCTGGAATTAGAAGTGTCTGCCAGACCTCCATCTACTGACTGATAGACAGAGATGTAAAGGTACAGGTACAGGAAACTGAGGTAGGTCTGCAGACTGGATAATACTTCCTGGCTTTCCTACTTGTAGTGATTATGTAAAGATACTAACGTTGGGGAACCTAAGTGGATGTATACAGCATTTCTTTAAGTCTTTATTTTGTAATAATAATAAACACAAGAAGCTGAAAAACAGTACGGAGAGGTCCTGTGTACCCATCACGTGGCTTCCCTCAGTGGCACACCGTAAACACTGCAGTGCATCATCCAAACCAGGCAGCTGACCCTGGCGCAGCATAGCGAACTAGACCGTGGCCTCACCAGGTTCTGCAGTCACTCTCCTCTTGTGGCTCTTGGTATGTAATTCCGTGATCGTTTATCACACATATAGCTTCACATGGACACGAACTGAACTGTTCCATCACCACAAAGATCTCCCTCCTGCTGACCTTTTACTGTCATATCCAACCTCCGCCACTGTCCCCTACCCTCGGCAACCACTGACTTGTCCTCTGTCGTTATAATACTTCCGTTTCAAGAATGTTACATAAATGGAATTGTACACTACAGACTTTCTGAGACCAGCTTTTTTCACTCAGTGTAATGCCCTTGAGCTCCACCCAAGTTGCTGATGGATCAACAGTTCTGCCTCACTGCTGAGCAGCATTCCACAGCTCGAAGGTGCCCATTTTACCATTCACCCCTCGAGACACAACTGGGCTGTTTCCAGTTTTTGGCAATTACAAATAAAGCTATAAACAATCACATATGGGTTTTTGTGTGAAAATAAGTTTTCGTCCTTCTAGGATAATGTGCAGGACTGCAGTACAGGTACAACTATTTGAGAAACTGGCAGCCTGACCTCAGAATGGCTGCACCTTTAAAATTTCTACCAGCAGTAAATGAGACCCAGTTTCTCAGCATTTCCACCAGCATTACCAAATGTCGTCGGTATTTTTTATCTTAGCCATTCTCATAGGTGTGTGGTGATATCTCATTGTAAGTTCGATTTGTATTTCACTACTGGCTGGTGATGTCGAACATCTTTCCACACGTGTTTATTTGCTCTGTATTAATGACTTAGAAATGAAAGCTAAAAATTAAAAAAGAATGTAATGAATAAGGCACTCGAAACTCTAATCTTGTAACCCCAGACTCCACTGGCCTCACACGTCCTTTAGCTTTAGGGTCTGCAAGCCTTTCGGCTCTGGCGTCCTGTGCTGGGTTCTCTGGCACAGTGTCGACAGTGTAACTGGAAAACTGAGCATGCTGTTTCCTAAAAGTACCACCTGAAACTTTCTTAAGGGCATGAGAGAAGGTAGGACAATCAGCATCTCGACAGGCTGGAAGGCAAGCTGGACCTCGTGTCAACAGGCCTAAGTCCCCACCTGGCTTCTGCCTTGGACCTGTGTCATCTCTGCCCAGCAGGACCTTCCTGGAGCCTGTTTCCTCAGCTGTAAAAACTAAGTCACCCATAAGGACGGCTTTAGCCCTGAGAGTTCAAGGTGGGGTCATCAACTATGCTTTCTGCTAATAAAATTTCATCTTCTTATCAGGGTACTTGAGGAGCTCTTGCTTATCCTCCAGAAAGAAACCAGACTTGCGGGTAAGAGGGTGAATGAAAACTGAACGAAGGCGCGTTCCGGATGCGCGCAGGGCGCACACGGTCTTCTCAGTCAAATCAGGGGGTCAAACCTGCAAAACTGCGCACACACGCGGCACCCAGGCTCCCACCCTCAACTCTCTCCCACCGTCTGTGCGCGGAGGACTCGTGACTTTTACTCCAGGTCTTTTCCCAGAACCCCCGACTCAGGCCGGGGAGGGGAGCCCCGGGAGGCGGGAGGGGAGGGGTGCGGAAGCCCGGGGGGCCCGGGCTGGGGAAGAGGGGGCGGAGGATCCAGGCCGGGGAGGGGAGCGGGCCCACCGGCGGACCGGCCTTACCTGGATCAGGGACTGGGCCCGCGGCCGCGCAGGGCGGCGGGTCGGGGAGCCCGCTCCGGCCCAGGCCCCGCGGCCGTCTGTCCAGCCGCCGCACCAGCCAGCGCACCGCGATCAGCAGCACCGAGGCGCCCAGCAGCTCCCAGGCCAGCGCCGCCCACTCGGCCGCCGCCAGCCGCGGCCACAGCATCGCCGCCGTTCGTCCTGTCGCCGTTGC